CTAGGTAATAATTTTTAAATTTTTTTATTACAATTTTCAGGAACTCTAATACAGGTATGCACATATATATACAGGGTGATTTTTATGTTCCGGACCCCCAAAATATCTTGAAAGGAAATAGTTTTTGAGAAAAATGTTGTATACAAAAGTTGTCGGGTTGAAAAAAATCTATTAAATTGTATAATTAAAAAACGGGCCCAGGGCCTTATGAGGGCCCTAAAGACAAAAAAGTAAATTTTTTAAATGGAACCAAGTATTTTCAAACTCAGATTCTTGTAGCCAGTGATTTCCTCTTTTCAGACATGTGGTAACTTGTGGGCCCAAAGTTAAATTTGGGCCCAAAATTCGATTTTTTGTGGATTTAAAGGTGATTTTAGTGTAACTTAGTTCCAAGGGGTTTTCGGGGTCCCTGATTACGAATATGAAGTCAGTTTTTAAAAATTTTCAATAGCGGACCCAAAATGACTAATTAAAAATGAAAAAAATTAAGGGAAATTATGAAACTTCTTATTTCAGACTTATCTAGCCTTCTAATTGTTAATTCAATTTTACTTTTATTGCTTTTAAATTAGTATCATAAACCTTGGGGTAAAAAATTAGATTTTTACATATTTTAATATTTAGGGGCTTATAAGGCCCAAAATTAGATTTTCTTTGGTTTTAAAGGGGATTTTAGTGTGAATTAGTTCTAAGGGGTTCTTGGCTCTAAATTTACTATCCTTTGGGGGCAAAAAGGAAGATTGGTTTATTTTCAAATTTAAATTTTGGGGGCTTATGGGTTCCAAAATTGGATCTTCTGTGGTTTTAAGAGTTATTTTAGTTTAAGGGAACTTTCTGATTTAGAATTGAAAAAAGACACGTTTTAAGTATTATGACGTGTGGAATAACCGGTACACTTAACCTGATCTTAAATTCAATTGATCTAAATTTTAATCTATTCACATTTTAAACTAACTAAATTTTAAGTTGTGTAAAAGTAATGTGCAATTATCAATCAGCAGGCTAAATAAGATTAAAATAAGAAGTTTCACAATTTTTCTTAAGTTTTTCATTTTTAATCAGTCTTTTTGGGTCCACTTTTTTGAATTTATAAAAACTGGTGTCCGATTTTTAATCAGGGACCAAAAAATCCCTTGGAAATAAGTCACACAAAATAACTCTTAAAACTACTGAAAATCTAGTTTTGGGCCTTATAAGCCCCTAAATATTAAAATTTGAAAAAATCTAATTTTTTACACCAAGGTTTATGATACTAAATTAAAAGCAATAAAAGTAACATATTGTATTAACAATTAGAAGGCAAGTCTAAAATAAGAAATTTTATAATTTCCCTTAATTTTTTTCTTTCTTAATTAGTCATTTTGGGTCCGCTATTGAAAATTTTTAAAAACTGAATTCAGATTCGTAATCAGGGACCCCGAAAACCCCTCGGAACTAAGTCACACTAAAATAACTTTTAAAACCAAAGAAAATCTAATTTTGGGCCTTATAAGCCCCTAAATATTAAAATTTGAAAAAATCTAATTTTTTACCCCAAGTTTTATGATACTAAATTAACAGCAATAAAAGTAACATTGAATTAACAATTAGCAGGCAAAGTAAGTCTAAAATAAGAAGTTTCATAATTTCCCTTAATTTTTTTCATTTTTAATTAGTCATTTTGGGTCCGCTATTGAAAATTTTTAAAAACTGACTTCATATTCGTAATCAGGGACCCCGAAAACCCCTTGGAACTAAGTTACACTAAAATCACCTTTAAATCCACAAAAAATCGAATTTTGGGCCCAAATTTAACTTTGGGCCCACAAGTTACCACATGTCTGAAAAGAGGAAATCACTGGCTACAAGAATCTGAGTTTGAAAATACTTGGTTCCATTTAAAAAATTTACTTTTTTGTCGGTAGGGCCCGTTTTTTAATTATACAATTTAATAGATTTTTTTCAACCCGACAACTTTTGTATACAACATTTTTCTCAAAAACTATTTCCTTTCAAGATATTTTGGGGGTCCGGAACATAAAAATCACCCTGTATATAGATATATATTTATTTTTATTTTCAAAACAAAAAGGAAGAAGATTAAGATTTTAGACGAAGATATTCTTATGCCATTTTGAATTGTCTAGATAGAGAAACGCAATGTTAAACGAAGAAGTACTTATGTTATATTCCTTGGTGTAAGAAAGAAAGGTATGCGTTACCTATTCAGTTTTAGACTTTCTTTATAGTTTTTTCACGTGATAAAGGGAGAAAGAAATTATTACCTGGGTCCTCAGAGTTATTAATTAATCCTCTTTAAAAGATTGCAGGTCAAGTGAACCCTCATTTGCAAAATAAAGATATATCTTTCTCTCTCCATAACTTGTTCTTTTCTCTGTCACCGAAAACCCAGCAGGGGTCCGGACGGAATGAATGAATGGACGGAATGAAGGAATGAATTCAAAGATTATTATAGTTAATAATTGTATTGTGCAAGAATTTTCTGAAAATGATTAATGTTCATGCACACTACAACAACAAATAAATAGTCACGAGTTTTTAGCATTCAACAATTGACACTGCCATAACCTAAAAATAAGAAACATACACATACATAGCTACTTTCATATTTGATCCGATTGTTGCGATTCGCTTATTGAAACTTGTCACTAGGATGTACATATGGTAATGGTAGTTCCCGACAATCATAATTTTTTATTCAAAATAAATAATTTTTATTGACAGAATAACTGACCTAAACAAAAAGGTTGTTTTCTTGGAGATTAATTCAACTCTTGACTATCTCTATTCATGAATGTGTTAATCAACAAAAGAATCCAAACCACGAAATAATTAAAAATATGACTTTCTTTCAACAGACACAATTCGATACCCAGATAACAAACGTGTCTGGCACGTTACAGGCACAACGAGCGGCGGACCGTGTCCCTGCTGTAACGCACCTTTTGTGCCACCTACTTTATGACAAGACCGACTGTGCCAGCATAGTGCTCGCAATATTCCTGACATATTATCCGGATCTTTTGTCCAGGATATATCTGCCAATAGGCTTGTTTAAATTTCTGTTTTTGAATCTTCATTATAAATAAAAAAAGTATTACTTTCACTAATAAAATTAAATAATTTATAAATAAATTAATTTTTATTGATATTTTATTTTTTTGTAGTGATAAGCAAAACAAGTTTGCAATAATTTTTTTTATGGTTCAAAATATATAAAAATATAAATAAAAGAATAAATCTAGGGATAAGAGAAAATAACAAGATTTATTAAAAAATAATTCACAAATTTTTAAAAATGTAGAATACTTTTTAAAATATCTAAAAAATCATGAATACAAAATTTAAAAAGTAAAGTAAATTATCAAAAAGATGAGAAAAATATAAGCCAACAAATTTTTAATAAATTAAGCAGTTTAATAATTATAAAAATCCTAATAACTTAAGTTTTGTAAAACACACTATAGAAATATTAAGAAAAGAAAATTCTTAAAATATAAGAAAGTTAAGAAGATTATTCATAAAATGAAGGAGTTTAAAAAATCTAAGAACAAAGCTTTAAAGAACGAAAAAAGCTTAAAATATTTAAAAATGCCCAAAACAAAAACTAAACAGCTTTAAATTTTAAAAAAATTATGAAATGTTAAAAATTGTATAAAATAAAATGTTGTAAGAAAATAGAAGAATTTATAAACGAATATAAAAAGAATCTGAAAATTAAAAAAAATTGAAATGATTTACAGAAATATTTTTAAAAAATTAAAGAAAATATTATAAGAGAACAAAAAACTATTGAAATATAGGAACGATTGGGAAATTTGTAAAAATACAGGAAAAAATGCAAAAAAAACTGACTAGAATCTATTAAAAAAGAATAATATAAGGAAAAAGTTATTCAGTTTAGAGAAGGGACAACATTTCTAAGAAATGAAAAAATTATGAAAAACTATAAAATTTATTAAATGAGCAAAGAATGATAAAAAATTATAAAGGAACTTAACAACAAAATGAGAAAATAACGTATAAACACACACAGCACATGATATTTTCTAAATATTTCTGAAATATTTCATTGAAATTTTGAAATATTCCAATGTAAAGTCCTTGAAATATTGCTGAAATTAGGGAAATGTCCGCCTATAAGTAATATTGCCGGGTAATTTTGCTGAAATATTTCATTAAAATATTATAGAAAAATTCCAACTTAAATGATGCTAAGGACCCTAAGGTGTTGAACATGTTAGAAAATAACGATTGACTTCATATTTTAAAAAAGTTTCTAACTTTCTTTGAAATATTTTCTGAATATTACAGAGTCTTCATTTGTAATATTGCAGGAGTCTTAATGTGTAATGTTTCAGCAAAATTTCACGGCAATATTTCTTATAGGCGGACATTTTCCTGTTTTCATCAACATTTCATGAACCTTGCATTGAAATATTTCAAATCTTTCAATGAAATATTCATGAAATGTAGTAGTAGAGCTATGTAGGTTCTAGCTCAGTCCTTTTCGATTCCTACCTTACCGACCTATGGTAACTCTACTTTACCATAGATCGGTGTTACCGACCGTTGTCGCGAGATGGCGCTGTTGCTCGCGGGAATTTTTGAATTTTTGAACCCTCTTGGCCACCCCCTTACCACCCACTCATTTGCATATCATTTGCATATAATTTGAATTTTTTAACCCTCTTGGCCACCCCCTTACCACCCACTCATTTGCATATCATTTGCATATGCTTTGAATTTTTTAACCCTCTTGGCCACCCCCTTACCACCCACTCATTTGCATATGCCTTTTGAGATTCCCTCCCACTTTCCACCCTCTTGACCCCACCCCTCTTGACAACCAGAGTGGGGTACGGTGAGTTGCGCGCGCACTCTCCCTCTCTTTTCAACAACTTTGCGTGCGCATTATTATAATAAAGAGGGGATACAGAGTATATGGTGATTTGCTCGCGCACTCTCCCTCTCTTTTCAACAACTTTGCGTGCGCATTATTGTAATAGAGTGGGGGTACAGAGTTTAAATTAAAGGGGAGTTGCCTCCGCAGTTTTCAAGTGGGGGTAATATAGAGTGGGAGTTGAGGAAGAGTGGGGTTTCAGAGTTAAAGTGCGGGTTCCAGTTCCAGAGAGATCATTTCTGTCCTAGATTTCCAACATCAGCAGCAGCACCAGCACTAGCAGCATCAGCACTAGCAGCATCAACACTAGCAGCATCAGCACTAGCAGCATCAGCACTAGCAGCAGTAGAGACATTTTTTCGGTATGTATTATATCCTTTTTTTTTTCTTCTTCAAATCCTTTTTTTATTCAATTTTATTATTTTTAATTTTATTTTTTGCTTACAGATATAAAAAAAACTATGGATTTACAAAAACTTAACGCTGTTGGCCGTATGGAAAGCTTCCTACCTACCAAACCGCTAGCTGAATTGACTCCAAATGGGTTGTATGCAGTGACTAAAATAAAGCGAGTGCAGACCAAATTCGGAGTCAGGATTGTAGCAGAATTGGATGCTGCTTTCACAACATTCCTGCCAGCAAGGTTTGCTCGGCTGTTTGAAGCTGAACCTACTTCCTATACGATGATGGAAGAAGCCGCGCAGTCTCAAACATTGCAATTAAAATATCTCGGTGGAAAATTTAATGAAATTCAATTTGAATATAAATAATATATTAAATATTATTAAAATATACATAAAAAAATTGTAATAGAAAAAAATGTAAATATATTCAAAAATGTGAGAGAAAATAAATTTATAAATTTTTACTTAAAAAAATTGTTTCTTTTCTTATTTTACCTTCATTATTAGTCTTAATACTAAGGGCATAGGTTGAACAACAATAAAAAGATATTAATTTTTTAATACTATTATATTTATTTATTCAAAAATAGATTAAATTTATAATAATAGAGATTCAGAAGTTTCATAAAAAGATTTTAAAGTAGTATAAGTACAATCCACTTCATCGACGCCATCTGAAAAATTTCTCAATTCATTTGATACATTTAGAAACCAATTTCGAAGAATCATAACAATGTTTACAGCACAATGGTTAGTTTGTGTAATATGATGCGTACATGTAGTTAACAATGATTCAGTTTTAATATTTTTAATCGCTGGACAGTCTATATCTTCTAAATTTTGTACATTTAACAAATATTTTTCTAACCACTGCTTTTTTTCAACACCTTTCGTGTAGATAGTTTTTGCACCTCGTAATGTTTCTTGTATAATAGTACGCAATTCATCGTAAGATACATCTCCAGACATCCAGTGGATTCCATGATAATTGTTTGTTAGCCAGAGATTTTCACTTTTATAACGTTCAGGTAGTGAATTCCAAGCACATGGAGGTTCAAAGAGGTAAACTCGAGGTTGAGCATCAGCTTCAAGAGGAAGTATAGCCAACTCTTTGAAAATGAAATCGTTGCAGGGTTTCTTGAAGCCTTGAACGTCTACGATGAACTCCATCTTGGAATAGAAATAAATTTCTATCCCAGGAACGTGAGTTATATACCTCTCAGTTCAACCCCTCCCCACTACTTTCATTTTACCCCCTCCATTGCTTTACAGTTTTTTAACTATACCGCTGATTGGTTTATACTGTACAATGCGATCATGTATGATGAGACAATAAGCAGTTGTTTCAGCAGGTATATTATTTCTAGCTTCAAATTCCAAACGTACATCAACTGACGTTTGTTTGAGAAACTCATTTTGTTTTGAACAATCAATAACAATTAGAGGAGCCAATGATTTAAAAGTATCAAGCTTCAATATGGGTTCAGAATCTCTTCCATAGTAGGAAGATTGAAAATTAGCATACATATCATAAAGTATAGAATATTGATTTTGATTAAAATTTAAATTTAAATTTCCATAAGGATATGATTGTGAATTTAAAAAGAGTTTTACATTTGTAATGTCGCAGTGATCAAAATAACTGGCAGACTTTTTACGTTTATCTTTTCTTCCTGTTTGGAATCCAACAATTACATATCGAGGCTTCTCTAATTGTGTTGACGATTTTATTTGCCACATGACTCTTGTACTTGATGGAATTAAAGGATATTCAAACATTTCCCACAATCGAAAACTCATTGAAATTAGTGGATCTTTCTCGATAAATTTCAATAATTTGATTTTATTATTATCAGATGGTAAAACATATGGCACTAACCATTCCACTTTATTAATTTGCACTTTGAACTGTTCATCTGCACCTTCGCCCATTTGAATAATAGAATTTAAATCACTACGTGCTCTTATTAAAATCAGTTCATGTTTAGCATTCATAACAATTTTTTTATAATCTTCAGCAAAACCAAAAATCATACCAAGTGGTATTGATATATCAAAATATCCATCTTGTAATGCCATTCTTGTATTCAATTCCACATTCAAAACTCCTGCATTTTCAGCGCGGTTAAGTTGAGGTGGTGTTAAAGAAACCAAGCTTTTCATAGTAGTTGTATGTCCAACATACTTGCAACGGTCAATCTCAATACCATTCAATTCATAACGAATTTCATCAAACAAATAGGCTATCGCATTGTTGGTGAAATGAATATTTTGTGTGGCATCAGTTCCATCAGCATTAGTCAACCTTCCAAAAATATGTAATACACTATTGCTTGGTAAAATAGATAAATCTTGATTTTGTACAATAATACGAATTTCATCACTATTGTTAAACGATGAGGATGCATATGGTTGATGACTGTGAATCTCATAATTAGCTATGGATTCATCAAAATTCACTGATGCTGGAATGCTGAGAATCTCCTCCATTTTTCTTATAACAGCGACACAAAATAAACAAGAAAAAATTTTCTCCTCTTCTCTTCTTTCTCTTCCTTAGTTTTGATTTCTGACTCGTAGACCTAGCTGCTTCAGGAATTGTCGACTCTGAGGTGTTAACACCTTGCGAGCTGTTTTCAAACTGATCTTCGATGGACATGGTGTTTGAGTTTTATAACTACTTCCAACTTTTCGATTATAAACAATACCCATTACATTGATTTAATATGTAAACGGATTGTTATTGTCTCTCCTCTAAAATTAATCAAAATACCGTTCTGATCTACTATACGCAGCTGAATGTTATGTATTGTCCTTACGGCGACTGGAAGGTAAATGATGTGTGTGGAACTTCTACAATCTTATATCCCGGTGGAACAGTGGGGAAAAATTCATGTATAGTGTGGACTTTTTCACTATTTATATACGCTCCAGTGGTAATATTACATTCAATGCGTAGAGCATTCACTTTCAATATTTTTACAGGTAAATCAGAGGAATGTTTTACATTCGGTGGTAGTTTGCGAGCAGTGAATCCCAATAAACTAGCAATAGAATCTTCAGGAGTAAAGTCAATCCAAAGATTTGATTTAATATAGCATCGTAATGTACTATTGTTGCACTCTATTGACAAATAATTTTTGTCTGTTATTTGACGTTTTAAATATGCTTCTATATCTTTAATTTCATAACTGCCAGTAGGTATAGTAATCTCAATATTGTTTATATAAAATTTGTTGCAATTTTCATCAATGTTAGGAATTGAGTTATATGTAAATAAATCAACAAGTCCAAGTGTATAATTTTTATTAGGTGAAAGTCCAATAGGTGGGAAGTATGAAGCCTCCATAACTGAAGACTTTCCCGTTAACGTTAAAGTAAAAGAGTCATTCATGTTGGACATCTACTTTTATACTGAAGGTTATAATTATTTACATATTCTTATATAGATTAAAACTGTTCTTAACGTTAAGTTGCTTACATAAGAATTTAAGACATAAATGACCACATATAAATGTATCAAAATTTTGATATCTCTCATGATTATATTTTATATAGCTACCAACACCTAGATAAACAATGAGATCCAATGGTGGTGAAAGATTTCCAAAACTATCAAAATATTCAGTTTCATTGTTTATCTTTTTATATGCTACCCAATGTGTTCCAGGACCTTCTTTATTATCAAGATTAATTATGGCTGATTCACATTTATAAGGTCCTGTAATAGGTAATTCATTTCTCATAAAAACTCCACGAAATTTAGGTATTTTCATAAGTTTAGCATATTTAAGTAAATCATAGTCGGTTAGTGCGCGGTGAGGTAGCTTCAATATTAGTTTTTTTGAACACTCTTTGTATATTTCAATCCATTTCCTTGATGTGGTTTAATATAAAGACCAAGTCCTTTACGATAGGGTTTCAAATATATACCCTTTCCTATAGCAATGGCCTCCATTGTTTCATTATGTCGATGTGCTTCTGAAAGTTGTTTTTTAGCAGCATTAGCATCATTTACTGCTTTTACAATACCACTGACTCCACCACTAAGTGCTCCTAATGCACTAAGCCCGGCAAAAATTGGTATTAGCGGTAAAATACCGCCAATTTTTGAAGGTACAGGAAGAATTCGAGGTGATGAAATTTTACACTTACTACCAAGATTTTTAACTGCATTTTGTGCACCAATCATTGCTGTTTTAATAGTGTCCGTTGCGTTATGATTATTTTTCATATTATTTTTAGCAGCATGAATAATCTTCCTTAATGTCATGCGTTTATTTTTCTTGGAAATTGTATTCTTCTTCTTCTTCTTCGACTTCTTCTTCTTCTTCTTCACAATCTTTTTCTTAATATTATTATTAATTTTTAAACCCATCCCAAATTTAGATTTAGCTTTCATTATATTAGTTACAGCTAATGCAGCTGCTTTTTCACTAATTTTAGCGTCCTTGGAAATTACTCGTTCCCACGCCTTTTCAGCTAGTATTTTGTCTGCAGTATTTCTTGCAGCCACGTCATTATCTTTTGAATAGGCTATATCATGCTCCTTACAAGCCGTATCCAAAGGATTTATACCAGGATCCCCTCGTGCAAGACGTTTTGCCAACTTTGTTCCAGGTCCACAATATTGATAACCAGGAATGTGACACTCGAATGGTAATTTGTTAATTAAAGTATTGAGAAATCCTTGACCACTGCAAGAATTTTTCTTCACTTTATCGTGAGTAATCATACCTCACTCGACAATGGTCTATAACCAACTGATTGAGGGCGACTATATAAGTGGGGTATTTATAGTTTTTTCATTAGTCAATTCTAAGATGCAGTTCAAGGTACAAGCTGTACAACTCCCTATTGCCAATGTGGATAACCTCATTGAAAGTAAAGATAATGGGGTTAAACGACATGGAAGTTTATTTTCAAATAGTATTCGAGCAGCTTTTTGTGGACCATCAAATTGTGGAAAAACGAATGCACTTCTCTCTCTGATTATACATCCGAATGGTTTAGGATTTGAAAATATATATTTATATTCAAAATCATTACAGCAGCCGAAATATAAATTTTTGGAACAAGTACTTAGTAAAGTAGATGGCATCGAGTTCTTCCCATTCAGTGAACATGAACAAGTTGTTACGCCTAAGGATGCAAAAACTAATTCAATTTTCATTTTTGATGATATCGCTTGTGAGAAGCAGGACAATGTTAAGGCGTTTTTTTGTATGGGGCGGCATGTTAACGTCGATAGTTTTTATCTTTGTCAAACATATGCTCATATTCCAAAACATCTTGTTAGAGATAATATTAATTTGCTTGTGCTATTCAGACAAGATGAAAGGAATCTCAAGCATGTTTACAGTGATCATGTGAATACAGATATGACTTTTACACAGTTTCGAGATTTATGTTCAGTATGTTGGAACTCTGACAGGTATGGATTTGTAGTTATTGATAAAGATAGAAATATAAATGATGGAAGATATAGGAAGGGATTTGATTGCTTTATTCAGTTATAAATATTAAGCATTTCAAGAGAATTGTATTAGTTTAGTTTGAGACTTTCATAAATAAACATGTTTCGAAAGGAGCGAGAGACACTACATCAAATAGCTGCAGCAAGTGATGCTATACGTCGAAAGCATCGTATTCTTAAAAGTGGCAGAGAGTCAGCTGAAAATATGTTGAAAAAAACCTTTCAACCATTAGTTACTCCATTGGAAAAATTAGTCAATATAACTAAAAATCCTATAAAGATTGAAAATTTTCAAAACCATGTAAAGAAAGAAGAAGAAGAAGACTTTGAATCATCTTTTAAGACTGCCATTAGTAAAGATACACCTTTCAACAAATCTATTTATAATGATGATGTAACGTTTTATGATCCTATTTATGAAGAAGACATGCAAAATTTATCAAAAGAAAATATAATTGATAGATTGCCCAATCAAGAGAATCATAATATTATTGTTAATGAGCAAAATAATAATATACTTAATGATACCTTTCATGAGCAAGGCATGTATAATATTAAAGACGCAAGTAATGTGATTGATACTCTGGAAGAAGAAGAAGATTCTGATAAATTAACAAAGAAATTTCTACAAATGTTGGATAAAAATAGGAAACAATATATAGATATGGTTTATGGAGTACGTAAACTTCCCGACGGTACATATATGATTGGTGATACACAAATTAATTTTGAAGGTTCTTACATTAACCTAGTTGGGAAGAAAAAATATTCTAAAACGGATGGATTATTGGAACTCATATTCCGACAAAAACCTGATCAGAAGTTAACAAATGCTAATGATTTCGTAAACTATAAAGAAATCCTGCGTAGTACGAATGCACATAGAAAGAACTATAGCCCAAAGAAACCTATTCGTAGTAATAAGACTTACAAATATACTAATGTTATTGCAAAACTTTTGCTCAAATCCGGAGATTCTTATTTGAAGAGAAAAACTCAATTACCACAATTTATGACGGTGAAGAAAGAATCATATCCAGACTATGTCTATTGGGATGATCCAAATGAGATTGTTGATCGTCTACGCTTACTTGTAGCATCACAACAGGCTGGCAATTCAAGTCATAACAATGAAATTATGTCAATAATTGAAGAATTACGGGAAGCTCAAATTATATATTAAGAGTGAACTTGTAAAATCAACATCATTATTATATTAAATATTGTTCTATTCAGATCATTTTATTATAAATCCTTGAACATGGATGATAAAAAGTTAACAGTTGTGACAGAGTTACATAGGCAAGCTAGGAGAAATTATCCACGTCGTAAAGTAGAAATGCGTGGAATTGATGAAACTTGGCAAGCAGATTTAGTTGAAATGATACCTTATTCTAAAGTTAATAAAGGTTTTAAATATATGCTTACAGTTATAGATATATTTTCCAAGCATGCATGGGCTATTCCTGTAAAAAGTAAAAGTGGAAAAGATGTTTCTGAAGCTATGGAATCTATACTTGTGAATGGACGTGTTCCTACAAACTTGCATACTGATAAAGGAAAAGAATTTTATAATTCTATATTTGAGAGTTTAATGAAATCATATAAAATTAAACTGTATTCAACTTATAGTAATTTAAAAGCTTCAATTATCGAAAGATTTAACCGCACACTAAAAAATATGATGTGGCCACAGTTCAACTTACGAGGAAGTTATAAATGGGAAGACATTTTACCATCTCTTGTTACAAAGTATAATAACAATAAACATCGTACTATTGGAATGAAACCTAAGGATGTCAGCAGAGAAGATGAAAAGAAACTGTTGAAACGCATCTCCAAACAAAGAAAAATTTTGCCTAAAAAAGCAAAATTCATAGTTGGTGATCGAGTACGAGTGAGCAAGTATAAGAATGTTTTTGAAAAAGGATACACACCCAACTGGACGACTGAAATTTTCACCATTATTCAAGTCAAATCAACGAATCCAGTAACTTACAAGCTGAAGGATTATCAAGATCAACCCATCGAAGGCGGCTTCTATGAAGAAGAAATTTCTAAAATGAAATTTCCAGATATTTATTTGGTAGAAAAAGTCCTTAAAAATCGTCGTAATGAAATCTATGTCAAATGGCTTGGATTCGATAATTCTCACAATAGTTGGATAAAAAAATCAGAAATGTAAAATTTGAAAAGTTAAAGTTAACTATTTGAAAAGTTAAAGTTAACTATTTGAAAAGTTACATTTAAAAAGCATGTAAATATTTGAAAAGTTAAAGTTAACTATTTGAAAAGTTAAAGTTAACTATTTCAAAAGTTAAAGTTAACTATTTCAAAAGTTAAAGTTAACTATTTCAAAAGTTAAGAGAATGTTCTTTTCATATACTGAATGAAATTAAGCAAGTTTAGACAAATTCCAACTTCATTGTTGAAGGAAACAAAAAAAAAAAGTCGTTATAATTTTAAAAAAAAATATTAGTCTTTTCACAGACTAGACTTGTTTCAACTTGCTTTTTTTGAAAAGGAACAAAGAAAGAAATTTATGCTTTTCACAGACTAGACTTGTTTCAACTTGCCTTTTTTGAACAGGAACAAAGAAAAGAATTTATGCATTTCATGGTCTAGACTTTTCTCAACTTGCCTTTTTGAACAGGAACAAAGAAAAGAATTTATGCTTTTCACAGATTAGACTTGTTTCAACTTGCTTTTTTTTTTTGAAAAGGAACAAAGAAAGAAATTTATGCTTTTCACAGATTAGACTTGTTTCAACTTGCTTTTTTTTTGAAAAGGAACAAAGAAAGAAATTTATGCTTTTCACAGATTAGACTTGTTTCAACTTGCTTTTTTTTGAAAAAAAAGAACAAAGGCATCTTCTGAGAATTTATTTATACTTGTTAGAGCTATGTCAACAATTGTAATAATGTATATGAAGGTTATATTAAATAAAGTAGACATAAAATTAATAAAAAGTTTTCATTTAATAAGAATTTCCTTCCACTACAACTCTTTTTTTTCAATATGTATAATAAATATAAATAAATAAGAAATATAAACAATAAATATAAATAAATAAGAAATATACAATAAATATAAATAAATAACAAATATATACATCAGACTTGTAACATTTCTACATCATCATCATCATCATGGTTTACAATATTGCAATGTCCCCAAGCGAGAGTGTCTGTACTATTTTTTAATAAATATCTCTTATCATCAAATGGACTTAAAGCTGTTTTGGTTTGTTTTAATGTGTGTACATTATGCAATTTTGATCTAATACAATACTGTGTTCTAGATTGAATTTGAACGTTTTTTAAGCAGAATAGATAATCATTGAAAGTAATAGTTTTTTTCACAACTGCCGTCTTGATACCTTTAACTTTTTTTATAAAATCTTGACCTTCAACGCGAAGACTGTACATTTTACTCCGCAATCCAACAAATTCTGTTACAATTTTCCCACTGCACTCATCTTTCATGAGACCCAAGACTTTTTTGTTAGCTTGCGGAATGCCATATACATTATTAGCTGGGTAATCTGATGTATCAAATTTGCAAATATCTACCTTCATATCAGAGTAGATATCTGCACATTTAATTTTATACACAAGGCTATCGGTATCAGTGTAGAGTAATTTACAATTATTACCGTACTTGATTTTCATATAATTATAATGAAAATCATACATTAATGTTTTAGAAATATCTAAAACGCTAAGTCCAATATAGATTGGCTTATTCATGTACACTTCCGTTTTTGTGAGTTCCACAGCAATCAAGTTATCATTAAAGATAGCTCTTGTGTGGAAGTTTGGTTTTGAAATAAGAGCCTCGGCACCGTACCTACCCTCCCACTTTGTCACAAGCTTGACATCTACATGCTTTCGTACATTTTCCATAGTCTTGCCATAAACAGCATTATTCATAAGTTTGAACAAATTTTTTTCAAACTCATTTTGAGCATTTGTTCGCATCATAGTATTAAAATCAATATAACTTTTTAACCAAGTGGACTGTTTAAATTTTAAAATTCGATGTATATGATTAAGTTTAATACCATGTGCTAATGCTTGTTTAAGTGCACGATAATGGATTATATACTTTTGTTTCGGTAAGAGAGTAGTTAACAGCTTCGATTGTTTTGATCCAGGTGGCTTTGAGTGTTCAGGACAAAATGGTAAGTCACTATGACTGTTATGCAATTCATGAGGGTAATCTAAATCCACTTCTAATATGTAACCAAAAGGTGAATCATCAGGGATGTTAAAGTTAAATGTATTATCTATATTTTTTACCCACTCAAAACCACCGTAGGGAAGTGCTTGTACCATAGCCCATCCATAAAGGTTATTAGCGTCCAAGTACACAATGTAAGATGATTCTTCCTTTTCATTATAATTCTTCATATAATGATTATTAGCATGAGCATATCTATTTGAACATTGGCTAATCCCACCCCTAATGCCACGTTCAATAAACATGATCATGTCAATATCTGTAAGAAGTTCCAACTCAACATTTGTATACTTTAGCATAGCATCCCAACTCAATCCAGGAGTTGTATAATAGTGAGCTGGATCTAAACCATATGCATCAAGACATTGGTCTCTAAAATTTTCAAAAACATCTGCAAGTAATAAAATGTCTGTTTTCATGTATAAATATACATAATCACCGATATTTTTGCAATTAAATGCAGACCAAACCTCTTGTGCATGTAGATAATCTTCATTACTTATATTTGAATCATTTAAGGTACTGTAAAATTTCTCTATTGGCGGTAGTTGTTCCTCATTAAGTTTTAATCTACAATCCAAGTACTCATATGGAAAAATTCCTTTACGGGTTAGTAACTGAATTTTATCCATATCATAGGCTTGAAATTCAGAATTTACAATATTATAATTCGTCAAATAAGATGCTAATTTATCCAAAGATGATGCCATGAATCTAAATGAATCTATAAATTTAAATTTGATATCATTTGCTGCAACGTGTTTAGTAAAACTTATATATTTTTCTTTATTAATTGGAAGGAGGCTAACATTACCCTCAAACTCAGTCGCGATAGCTTTTATAATGAAATGTGCATCATATCCACTCAAGTTATGGAAAACCACAGGAATAGTTTTTGAAACCTGATATTTCAGATTGCAATCCTGATGAGCGACTCCTCTATATTTACCAGTTATATGACAGTGATCTCTAACCTTAACACCCCCATGCGTGATAATTTTTCTGCAGATGTGACAAACATTAGTATTTTTGAATGCTGCTTTTTGAGTTGCATTTAAGACTTCCATCGGAACGTTAGTTATAAAAACAGGCTCAACATCCTCTGCCACTTGTTTTAATTCACGAGCAAACCATTTTGCTGCATCTTCTTCATTAATAGGGGATGCTTTGTATACTGATAAAGTGTCATCATAACACTTTAAATAGTAGCCAATGCTCAGAAGTTTATGTTTTTGAAAAACTTCTGTATTATCCCCTACGAATGAAGAATCAGTCGCAGGAAGCAGTAGGCTCTCACAGTCAGCATATATGATAAACGGAGCACGCTCCTTGTTATAAAAATTCTTAAAATGAACCCTATTTTGTCCAGGCTTTGGTAAAATAACTTTAGTTTTATTTAGTTTTATACAATTTTCTATATGATTATAATCATATAGAAAATTGTATAAAACTAAATAAAACTAAAGAAGCTCCTCTTCATTTTTAAAATAATGTAAACACCGATCACAAATATGCTTCTTATATTCAGACTGTGATAATTGTTTGCCTACAAGCCTGGATAAATTTTTTATCCAAACGAAATGATAAGTGAATGAGGTGGTAGTGTTTGATTTTTCAACACAATCTTCCTCCTCACATTCATCATAATCTTCCTCAATGCGTAAAAGATTCACATGTGAGACTTTCTTACTAGATGAGAGATATAATGGTATTACAGTAAATTTTGATTTATGCTTTTGTAAACCATAAACATTTACTGAAACATCATTTTGAGATTCAAATTTTCGGATATCCTTAAATGTTACAGGAAATGTAATACCTGTAAAATTTAAAGTATCTTCAAATTTCTCATATTTTTTCACTCTTCCCGAATTAGAGGAGGTTTGATATAATGCTGAAAGAATCGCCCACTTGAAGCATTCATTACCTTCTTTTCGGACATTTATACAGGCTTTTTTTCGTTCAGTGGCAAGTGGCAGTTTAATGAAACAACCAACACGCATAGGGTTGTATTTGTTAAAGTTCACATCTAATCTGAGAATAGAGTGAAGTTGCCAATTTGATTCTTTCTCCTGAAATTCTTCCATAAGTTTGAGGGTTATTTGCTTAACATTTTCATTATAAAAGTTATTTAAATCTGTTGCAGGGAAAATCTCGCCTGTTTTTGCAATAAATGATTTCAAATCTAAAATACTTGTTCCATCAGCTAAAGTCTTTTTAAATTTAGCTACCAAAACTGTATAAACTTTTAAGCAACCTAACCTATTTAAACAGGCTTTAACTTGATCTTCATAAATTGAAAAGGCATCATCTAAGAATAAATTAACATCTATGTGACTCATATTAATAATTGTTCCGCTTTGAATTCTTGAATTAAATGCCCTATCAGTCACAGTCCATTTAATTCTATCATTCGCTTCCAAACCTGATCCACGTTTCATTACCGAATCAAAGTGGCATTCAAAATAATAAATTTGTTTTAGTAAATTTAAAATTCTCTCCTTTTGATTACCTTTAATAGAAGAGAAACGTTTTGAAAATTTTTTTAAAAGAGAATAATGTTTTTTACATTTGTTATGCCACTCAAATGCGCTAATGAAACGATCATCACCTGACTTGGATGATACAGATTCTAACTCAATTTTCGCAACATTAATGAAATTTTCTGATACTTCACAAATTTCATTAATGCTATCCTGTGAAACTATTCTTTCATAAGGTTTATTATTTCTGCGTGTAGCCATTTTTTATTATTGTTTTTTATTTAGAACGATACTGTAACAAAAAGAATAAGCTGAAACAGAGAAAAAAAAATGCTGTTGAATGTAGTTGAATGTAGTGGAACCCCCTCTCACGGATATATTTGGAACCTCCAAACTGAATGCTTTTGACCCTTAATTGTTTGTTGTTACTCCTGAGACTAGTCTGCAACAGAATAAAGGAATTTTTTTTTTTTTTTAATTATTACTAACATTATATACACATATAAATAAATACTTACATAAAAATGTTCTGACTACACTTTATAACACACAATGTGTGTAAAAGTAGCACCCCCTCTCTAGCGCGCTTGAGCAAGTTGAGACAGGGAAGAAACAAGTCTTAACTCACTGAGACTACAGTCTGTGAAGTGAAAGTAGTCTCAAGGGTGTTGAGTTAGATGAGATATATGTGCACGCTTCTACTACAACTGCTTCTACGTGTAGGTGGCCCCCTCTCTTGCGCGCCTGACTGAACTCAGTGAGACTGCTACTATTGGTGTGAGTGAGAAGAACCCCTCTCTCTCTCTCTCATGGACCCGACTCAGCTTGGTGAGACAGCTACTATTGGCGTGAGTGAGTAGCACCTCTCTCTCTCTCTCTCTCATGGACCTGACTCAGCTACTATTGGTGTGAGTGAGAAGAACCCCTCTCTCTCTCTCTCATGGACCTGACTCAGCTACTATTGGTGTGAGTGAGAAGAAGAACCCCTCTCTCTCTCTCATGGACCCGACTCAGCTACTATTGGTGTGAGTGAGAAGAAGAACCCCTCTCTCTCTCTCTCATGGACCCGACTCAGCTACTATTGGTGTGAGTGAGAAGAAGAACCCCTCTCTCTCTCTCTCATGGACCCGACTCAGCTACTATTGGTGTGAGTGAGAAGAACCCCTCTCTCTCTCTCTCATGGACCCGACTCAGCTTGGTGAGACAGCTACTAGTACTGGTGTATGTAAGGAGGAGCCCCGGGTTGATGCTGCTGATTCTGGAACCTAGAACAGAATGACTTTCCTTGCCACGGGAATCGCCTGAGGTACATGTCGTCCCCACTATTCACAACACCCCACTACCGAACTCCATCCCCACTTGACGCATGGACTACCAACGGGCCCGGTGATGTACGCGCGCATGTGCCGCGCACACTTTTGAGTCATCCACTGTGCACCACCCACAGCCACCTACTCCCAACCACCCACAGTCCCGCGCGGTATCTCGCGAACCCTTTGTTCCTCGACGTTCTAATTATGATTTTTGAATTTTCGGGGCCGTATATGTTAATATGTAGGAAAGATATATGCAAATTAGGGGGGTGGTGGGTGGCCAAGAGGGTGGAAAGGGGGAGGGATTCTCTAAAAAGACCTATGCAAATAAGTGGGTGGTAAGGGGGGTGGTGGGTGGTCAAGAGGGTGGAAAGGGGGAGGGATTCTCTAAAAAGGCATATGCAAATGAGTGGGTGGTAAGGGGGGGTAGCTAGGTTACACTCCCACCCCATCTCTCCCACCACATCACTCCCTACTATTACTCTACTGCATCGATTGTCCTGTGCGGTAGATCTTGAAAACACTATGAATCACTTAGTAGGTAAAGTAGAAATTCATGGATAACATCTATGAATGATAACTTACCGACTTATGGTAACTTACCTGATATATAGTAATTTATATCTAGGAAGGGTAACTTCCCGACATATGGTAATTTTATCTGTGAAGGGTAACTATGAAATAATAATTAAATAATTTATATTTTTACTTAAAAAATTGGTTATATATTTTTTTATATTTAATTGTCAATATAATTTTTATTATTTTTGAATTAGGGAAAAGGTAAATTATAGGAAGTATACAAAAAAAAAATACACACAGAGTATATAGAAATTACAAATTTATTAATTAATGTTATTAAAAAATATTTTAAATATAAAAATATATACAACATTAATTTATTAAATATTATTATATTTTTTATCATTTTTTTTTAAACAAAAAAATAAAAAAAATAATTTAAACTAAATTTGTAAAAAAAAAAGCTTTTTAATTTCTTTTACTTTTTTTTCCATCATCATCATTGTTAGAGAGGGGGGGTTGGATTCCGAGGATTTTCTTTTACGAGGATTTGATTTTGAATGAGGGTTAGGAGAACGAATTGTTGGAGTTGGAGGACGATTCAGACAAATGTCTGGGGTTGGAGGACGATCATAGGATATTATAAAATCAGTCGGGGGAGATAAATTTAGACAAATGTCTGGAGTGGGAGGACGATCATCATCATCATCATCATCATCTGAAGATGAATCATCATCTGAAGATGATGATGATGATGGTGATGATGATGATGATGATGATGATGATGATGATGATGATGACGATGATGACGATGATGATGATTTAGATAATGATGATGATGATGGTAATGATGATGATGATGGTAATGATGATGATGCTGGTAATGATGATGATGATGATGATTCATCTTCAGATGATGATGATGATGATGATTCATCTTCAGATGATGATGATGATGATTCATCTTCAGATGATGATGATTCAGATGATGATGATGATGATGACGAATAATTGATGGAGGGGGGTATTGCCTCCGGATCCGATGATGGTTGCGGTTTTGATGATTCAACCCCCCATTTCATTTTTTTTTTAATTTGCACATCAATTATAGTCCTTGTTGGTTTTGATTGATTAATCACGCCCTCTATAACCCTATATTGATACTGATCCCTCTGAAACAACAAATTATAACAAAAAATTATAATAATAATAATAATGGTAATAATAACAATAATAAAAATAACAAAAATATCAACACTACTAATAATAAAAAAAATAATTATTATGTTAATAGTAATAAAAATTAAAATAAAAAAATTAGTTTTTTTTAACATACCATCCAATATTTCGGTAAGCTCCACATTTCGGGATTTATAACTATCATCCATTTCGGCGTCGGTGCCGCTTCCTCCTGACGACGCCTTGGAACCATTTGTAGGCGAACAATAGTTTTTCTTTCAGAATTCTGTACATAAAAATATCAGAATTTGTAAAAAAATGAATTTATAAGAATATGAAAGATTTCTATTAAAAAATTATAAAATATATAAAAATTATACATACCATTTTTTTTTCTTCAAATTCAAATTTTCTTTAAACAAATCACTTTTTTCACTACACTTTAATGATAATGAATAAACTCAAAGAATTTAATTCAATAAAATTAGTTTTTTTCAATAAAAATTAAAATATTTTTTTAACTTATTAATTTTTAAAAAATGGAAAAAAATTTTGTTTTTCACTGAACTTTCTTAAAAAAAGATGTTTTTAGTAAGAGAGGAGTTTTCATAATGACAGTTTTTCGCATGTTGGAAGGAATTTTCTTTTTTATGACACTTTTTATGTTTTTTATGATAGGAATACAGGTAAACTCAAAACAGCTTGTTGACAACGTTCAGATGAATCTTCAAATTCATGAAAAAACTTGTAGTACTTACAGTTAAAAAATAATTTCCAAAAAATATATATAATAATGAAAAATTCTCGAATATAAAAAAAAACGTTGAAAAAATTTAAATATTTAAATATATAAGTAATCGAACCATTTAAATTTTTCCCGGTCAATGTAAAGTGGTTCCCTCTTTTGAAAAATGTTGGTAACATTAAAATATATATATGATAAATAGAGACTTACCATGAAAAAAAAGAAGTTTTAAAAAGGGGCGCCCTCTTTTGAAAAATAAGATTACTATATGGTAAAATAGTTACTTACCATAAAAAATAAATAATCGGCATGTAAATTAGTGGGTGGAATGTGGGAGGGAATCTCAAAAGGCATATGCAAATTATATGCAAATGAGTGGGTGGTAAGGGGGTGGCCAAACGGGTTAAAAAAATTCAAAGCATATTTAAATGATATGCAAATGAGTGGGTGGTAAGGGGGTGGCCAAGAGGGTTAAAAAATTCAAATCATATGCAAATGAGTGGGTGGTAAGGGGGTGGCCAAACGGGTTTAAAAAATTCAAATTATATGCAAATGATATGCAAATGAGTGGGTGGTAAGGGGGTGGCCAAGAGGGTTCAAAAATTCAAATCATATGCAAATGAGTGGGTGGTAAGGGGGTGGCCAAACGGGTTTAAAAAATTCAAATTATATGCAAATGATATGCAAATGAGTGGGTGGTAAGGGGGTGGCCAAGAGGGTTTAAAAAATTCAAATTATATGCAAATGATATGCAAATGAGTGGGTGGTAAGGGGGTGGCCAAGAGGGTTCAAAAATTCAAATCATATGCAAATGAGTGGGTGGTAAGGGGGTGGCCAAACGGGTTTAAAAAATTCAAATTATATGCAAATGATATGCAAATGAGTGGGTGGTAAGGGGGTGGCCAAGAGGGTTTAAAAAATTCAAATTATATGCAAATGATATGCAAATGAGTGGGTGGTAAGGGGGTGGCCAAGAGGGTTCAAAAATTCAAATCATATGCAAATGAGTGGGTGGTAAGGGGGTGGCCAAACGGGTTTAAAAAATTCAAATTATATGCAAATGATATGCAAATGAGTAGGTGGTAAGGGGGTGGCCAAGAGGGTTCAAAAATTCAAAAATTCCCGCGAGCAACAGCGCCATCTCGCGACAACGGTCGGTAACACCGATCTATGGTAAAGTAGAGTTACCATAGGTCGGT